ATAATTCCCGATATTACATTTTTTTGTGAATATCGGCCGATAATATCGGAGGGCCAATATTATCGGACATCCCTAATTATTTGTATTATAGCAGTGTTCACCTTTATTTATAGGTAATATCATTGTTCATGTAAATATCTTTAATTAAACATTACTTTTATAAAAGTATAACTATATATATTATAGTAACCTTTTCTCCAAAGTATGATGACATTGCACCCTTTTTTTTAAAGTAGGGTTAGGTTTTTTTTGGCCTGTTATGCCTTTTTTGACAGAAAAAGCTGGAGAGAGACAGGAAAGGGGGGCGAAGAGAGAGAGAAGGTGAACCGACATGAGCAAAGCAAAGGGCCACAGGTCGTACTCAAACCCGGGCTGCTGCGTATATGGGTCGCCAGCTCTACCGACTGAGCTAACCAGGCGCCCATTGCATCCTTTTTTTGCAAAAGTTTTTTGCTTTTTTTTGGGAGGCTTTTAAATGGTTAATTCAAGATATTTTACACATGTAAAAACAATGAAATTACCTATAAATACAGGCAAACACTGCTATATTACAAATAATCAGAAGAGTGTGGTTATTTGATTTTTCCTTTTTTCTTTTAATAGATAATTTTTCCACAAATTGCTTCTATCTGAGGACAATCTGCAAAGTTCCCCTTTTCCTAACATATGTTGATATTGTGGATGACTTTAATTGGACGTTATTAGTGTAAGAACGTTAAAGATGTCTAATTACCCTTCTGCTCTTGGCGTCATGCTGTAGAAATCCATGGCTTCAGCTGATAATCTCTAAAATAAAGGATAAAACAATGAATGGGTAGCATTCATATATATGATCTCTGATTCAAAATCTTACTGTAAAGGTGGTTGAATTGCTTTACTTCCACAATGTTCATCAGTGCTGACAATCTGACCACAGCGCGGCTAATAGAAAAGAGCAAGAGAAAAAATATCATAAAACGTGTTGGCAATTTAACAACACTGTTATATTGAACCTAAAACATTTCGTTAAAAAATGTATTTTAAACCTATGTTTTCTGTGGCGACCATTTGTGTTTAATACAATGTAAAGCAAAATACAATGACAATGGTTTTGTTTCTGAAAATATGAAAGTACAATACCTGACACTAGTTACCACTACTTCTTTAAAGTTTTCTATCTTCTTTTCCAAGTAATACTTTTCCATCTGAAATAGTAACAACATAATATTAATAATGTTTTGGTAGTTGGTCATATGAAACAATAACAATCACTAATATTATCACTAAAATCTGAATTTTTGGACTTATTCCTAAAACCTTTATTCTTTACTAGACGTGCTATTGTTTCCGCATGTAGCTATGGATATGTAATTTGGATAGAATGTTTTTGGCTGCATGATGTATTCATGCCTGTTAGTCATGAACAAAATGTGCATCATTAGCACAGTATAATGTGGAATATGATTGAACCCAGTCCATTACATGAATGCAGGTTTGTCCGTCTTTTTCTCCAATAAGCACACAACAAGCATAAAGTCACCATCTTTACAACATACTGTAACATCCAACAAAAAGATGGTATACAGGTTACTTTATCTTGGAATAATTGTCTGGATATGTCTAGAAAGTACACTGCTGTAAAACAGCAGGACAGATATATATAATTTACCTGGTTAGTGAAAGTTCCTACGAACTCCTTGTATTCAGATGAGTCTTTGTCTTCATAATTGTCATGAAATTTCTCATTGATCACCACATTAACAATAACTGACCTGTTGAAAGAATCTGAAAAGAGAATACACAAACATTGGAAATTATGCTGAAATTACACTTAAAAAAGATGTGGCAAGATGATGTTAGTACCTGGCTGAACAGTTTCAATAAATTCACAAACACGTCCGCTGAATCCAACAAGACATGTGCAGTTGAATCCATTATTATATCCACCATTTTGGCAGTTTAAAGGCTCTACTGTTGTGACTGGTCGAGTTGTTGCTTGAATTGTTGGACTGGAGGGTGATGTTGTTGGTGGTCTGGTTGTTGGATCAGTTGGTGGTTGGGCTGACAGTGTGGTTGGAGGATCAGAAGTTACTTTGTCAGTGGGATTAGTTGGTTGAGGTGCTGATGTGGTCTCTACAGGCTCAGAAGTTAATGAATGGGTTGGACTGGTTGATTCAGATAGTGGGGTGGTACCAGTTGGCTCGGATGTTACTATGTCTGTAGGACTCGTAGGCTGAGGTGGGGAAATGGTCTCTGTAGGT